TCAAGCATCCCCTTTTGATTTTGGAAGAAGATTTGCTCAGATGGTGGGTCAGGAAAGACAACTCCTTTTATTTCTTTTACTGTAGGTCTTAAGTTAGATTTCCAGCCATTTTTCATGTCTTCCCAAGAAGATATTTTAATGAGGCTGAGCTGGTCTGTTAGTTTTTTAACTTCCTCATTTTCGGAGGCTGACCAAGGATTGCCAGTAAGGTTGTTCAAGAAGTTCAGAATTTCTAGTAGCTCAGGTTTGAATCGTTTGAGCTGTAACTGACTATAGTCGTTGTCAGAAATTTTGATAACCTTGTCGATTTTCATGATTAAATTGCTGAGCTTCATGAGCTCGGTTATTGGGTCTGGGTTCTCCTGTCCAATGATGGAAGAGTTGTTTCAGTTAGTATCTTCCTCGGAAAGAGGAGTTGGAGGCCTCCTTTGAGCATTTGGAGGTCTTCCAGGTTTTCTTTTAGATTTATTTGGTATGGTCAACGGAGGAGAAACAGCAGTCAACCTTAATTCTTGAGAATCTTGGTTTCCAAGAGGCTCGGATGAGACCAAATTTGGTTCGTTTTCTGGATTGGGCCCCCCAGGGTTTTGGGTAGTGGGCTGCCTGGTAACAGGCCTCTCAGTTCTCATCTTCAAACTGAATAGAGAATTGGAAGTAGGAAAAGATTTTTTAATAGCTCACAAAAAAGGTTTCTAGAAATAATTCCCAAAATAAACGTTTCTTCTTTTGAATAAGTTTCAAGATGCAGGAAAAGAGTTAAAGTTTGTATACTCACAATACTCACAAGAAAAAAGATTTTTTCTTACCAAATGTTGGTTTTACTGAGACAGATAGAGGGTCAAACAATATAGGCTTTCTTACCACAGAAAGAGATTTTCTGATTGCTTGGTTTAGATTTTATACACAAATAACTCAGAAGTTTTTTAGGAGTTTGTTCAAAGATTTCCTTTACTTCACGGAATATTTAGATATATATATATATATACAGATATCAACAACAAATCAGTTGTTTTTAGGCAGTGGAAGACTTTTCAAGAGAGGATTGTAAAGTTATAAGGTTTGAGGTTTTAAACCTTTGGAAGTTTCTCTTCGCGGATAGAACCACACTCTGCTACCAATTTTTTGTAAGGTTTTATGGGTGAGAATTAAATTAATCAAGCCTTACACCTTGATTGCAGTTTTTAGCAGAGTATTAGGATCTTAAGAAATTTTTGATAAGAGCTGAATAAATCAAAAACACGGCAATTGGCCGGGCCCGAACCGACCGGGATTTCTCCCAACTAGTGCAGACCTTTCTTTGATGCACACACACACAAAGTTAATCATACACACACAATTTGCACAGAATACAAAGTATACACACCCAGATATAAAGGAGATACAACAATCAATGGCAATCAGAGTCGTAGGATTTCAAGCAGTCCAGAAGTGGCTTTGATTTCCTTTGCAATTAGAATTTCACAACTGGTACAAGTTTCCGATTTGACAAAGTATTCCCGCAAAGCTTTGAGGAGATAGTTTAAGAAAGAAGAGCCCCAATCTTACCAAAAGAGGGTTGAAAAACCTAGGGTAAAAGCAAAGTACCAAAGCTTTTGATTTTGCGATGTTTTCAAAATCACCCTGATAATAGATAATTTTCTAAGTTCCGAATTTCGAATTTTTTGAACACAACTTCAGCAGTTCAACCTTCTAAACTTGACTGTGTCTGTTACCCAATTTTCTGGGGTTTATATACGATTCTTGTACCGATTTTGGCGGGTCCTCCTTGTTTGCGCAGATTTGAAAACACCAGGTGGTAGCATCTGCTGTTTTTTGTAAAGGTTTCATAAATGTGTATTTTCCCGAAAACCGGGTGGATGTTTTACAATCTTTCAACCGTTTGTTAAATTAGTTTTCTGCTGAAAAACATGGGTATTGACAGTTTGCAAAAGCTGTTAAGACTGTAAAGTTGCCAGTTGAGTATTTCTAAACTCGAGTTTTTGACAGCTTGAGACGTCCCTAATTTGGGAGACAAATTGTTTTACGATATAGGAGACGAGATTTTTCGTCTCTTTCTTGACAGCTGGTTTGTGTTTTTGCAAAGTCTTGAGGGGTCGAATGACCCCAAGTTTTCAGAGGAGTCGATGTCCCCCTGTCAAAAGGGTGGCGCCGACTTTTTTGGCGATTTGTTTTATCCCGTTTCCGGGGATTGCTCTCCTTTTTTGGCCTCGAGGGTCTTTGTTTTGCCAATTCGTTTTGCGTTTTATTTCAGGATACCCCTTTTGTGGGAATCAGTTTAACTTTTGTTTGTGTCGGTGCATCCCGGTGATGCGCCGATTGGATTACAGATTTGGCTCCAATT